CTTGTTCGTCCAGCAACCCCCGCCTCCCGGCATCACGTCCAGGAAACATATAAAATTTTTGGAACCAAGGGTACGCGTAGTCTTCAAATTTGTTATTCACGCGATGTTTGGTCCAGTCGGGTGCGAACAAGCTATTGTTACATGTGATTGCTTTATATTACGACAGTCACAGCGGTTAGACAGCATCAGTCGAATTTCGTCAAATATGGGCGAACTGGAACCTCAAAATTACACAAAGCGCCACGAAGAATGCCCCGATTTGCACTCGCTGTTCCCTTCAAGTGTGTTGTATCGCGGTGCCGTCTCGTGTTACGTCTGTCACACCGAACCACACCGGTGGAAACCAAACGCAGTTTGCATCAAGCAGCGTGTGGAACAATCTCATGTGAAGGAGTGAAGCTGTCAGTGTTGCTGCGACGGTCGCTTAAAATTTGGAGCTTAACCTCAACAGAAACTCTTTTGACTCTCGAATGCATGAATTTTCTTCAGTGTTAATTTATTGAGGCAACAGATGAGGAAGACAAGACAAGCATAAGGAATCATTTAATCCCATATCCAGTTTAACAGTTGGATGACACTCCAAAAAATCCGTTAAGCTGAATGAAACGGTTGTTCGTTTCCCCACAAAATCGACGTGTGAAGGGGGTCAGATACCACCTAAGAACACGGATAGCGTGATGCACTACGGGATTCCGTGTTAAGCATCTCTATTCTAGGAGCACATTAACAGCAATAAAACAAGGAGGGAAGCTGAGTCAGGCACTGGGAAAAGTGAGGAGACTCAAGCACTACTATTATTAGTTCCAGCCATTCTACTCAAGAACGATCAATCCACAGAAGATACCAATTCTACCTGATCCAATGAGACATCTTTTCTTGATTCTCTATCGCCACATAAAAGATCTAGTTTAGTTGACACCTAAGAATGGTCTCTCCAGAGGGAGATAGGTGTAGAAATCAGAATTAGAAAAGTGGTCTTTAACTTCAGCAATGAAAATAAAATACTCGGAATGCGAGGGTGTCCACGAATTGTCGTTTAGAACGGAAAAAAACGCTTAGAATCCTTCAGTGATCACTGAGGGCGCTCATTAGTAGGGGTGCAGGTTATTAGGGCTAAGGAAGAATGTCAACGGTTCAGCTTCGGTATCCTCTCGGTATTAGAATACAATGAGGAGTTATGAGAGCTGATATACTACCAGGTTGCGCGAACATATGCAGAAGCAATGGAAAAACTGGGGTTGGGTTCGAAGTGGTCAACAGCCTTAGCTGCTGTAATCCAGTGCTTCTCTGTGAATACTTAATTTAGAGGAGAATTTAGCCCGCGATCAGAGGGCAGTGTAGTTTCACACACGGAGCCCTTAATTAAATAATACTGCCGAGTTGCAGTAAGTCCAGGGGATGCATCCACTAAAAAACCAGCCCGCCAAGTTCCAGCTAAAATCTCTCAGCTGTAACACCATTCCGGTGCCTAGCTGCCATGCTACCCGAAAAAGCACGAGGGGCTGGGATACTGCCAGGTTGCCCAAGCCTAGAGAGTGGAAGTCGAGAGGCAGAGGTCGGGTTCGAACCATAGACCTTGCGGTCAGTAAATTCGCGCTCTAACCACTTGGGCCATCTCGCCCCAGTTCCAGCTAAGTGATTCACACATCAATCCATGGAAAAAATTAAATGTCCCCGAGAAAGTGAAGAACCGTTTGTATAAGCAAACTTACCCCAATTCCAGGGACAAAAACCAGAATGGCACCCTTAGTGGTGGTTCGCAAGAGGTGGTCGATCAAGTGAACGATCAGATCGGTCAATGGGTAAGCGTCATCGTCCACAACACGAAGTATCTCCGCTGCATTTGCTGATAAACTGTGGGAAAGGTTCGGCAAAACGCAACACTGATTAGGTATACTATGCAGCGAAATCAATCGCCAATAAGATTCCCAACGGATACAGGTAAACGGGAAGAGAGAGTGAGACAAGGTAGCACGACAGAGTCCGCAATTTAACAAAAAATGGTGGTAGTTCGGTATTAGGCACCGAAAAACCTTTCGCTGCAGACAGCTAAACCTTATCACACCTGCCGAAACTTCATCGTGAGCACATATAATCTAAAATCCTATGAGAATAGCGTTGGTAACATGCTTAGTGTTGGAAACTTGGACAGTATGGACTAATATAATATCTCCACTTAATGTTCTTTGATATGCATTCCCCCCCTGCGCTTTAAAATTTGATCACTGTTTTCACCCTTCCTACATGTCAATGCGAATGTCCAAGAAACTACGAGCATTTCGCTGCTGATTCAACTTCCGCCCACACCGATGGGTATCCACGTTTAAAGTCACCTTAGATCGTCGTATGGTTCACACTTCTGACGTATTTGAATTTCAATCATTGACTCATGTTAGCCAACGAGCCATGCTTGGTGAAATCCTCGAGTGCCTCAAAAAACGAGTCAATCGTCTGTTTCAAAAAGGACTCCAAGGCCCGACCACGGTTGCCAACTTGCGTTCACTAGTACCCAACTTCCTAATTCAATTGATGGGGGGGGGGCTCAACTGGTTAGAGTGCGAATTTACTGACCGGAGGGTCCCGATTCGAACCCGACCTATGCCTCTCGACTTCCCCTGTCTAGGCTTGGGTAACCTGCCAGTATCCCAGCCCTCGTGCTTCCTTCGTGTGGCATGACAGCTAGGCACCCGGTGTTGCAGCTGAATGAATTCACAAGTTCCATCTGTCAAGTGAGTACTGCTGTAACTCAGCTTCACTGGCCTGGAAGCATTGACCCTTCCTCCCGTAACAGAGAATGGCCGAGAGGTAAGGATCTCCTAAAGACACAAGGCTTCTGGCACTGACAACAGCCATCCAGTTAAGCTAAACGTGACGCCCGAATACCTACTAGGTGTTGCTTTGGGAAATTTGGATCTCAGAGCAAATCCCAGCGAACTGGGGTTCCTCCACGAAAGCTTATTTTGAAAATCTTAACATCCAGAATACAAGGATATCCGTGAACTTAGTCAGACACCAATACTTTCAAATTGATCACGGTCACCATCCTTCACCATCTGTTTTGTGATACGTGGCATATATATATATATATATATATATATATATATATGACCTCTGAGTAATGGTTCAAGTATCTGCTCGCTGAAGATTCCAAGAAAACAGCAACACGATGTCTGCCCGTGTCTCCGTCACCAAAATGAAATTCGCTCTACTTCACTGGACCTGCAGAACTAGCGCTCATTTTGGGTCAATGTCCGCCTGATACTGCTTGCTTAGGTTTTTGGTTTTAGAAAGCTGACCAGCTTTACTGCAATGAGCGCTCCAACGTTATATGGAACTGAAAGCTTACTCTCCCAGTGGGACAGATGCGAAATTACACACCAAGTCACACTTACTCACAAATGAACGAATTCGCCTCATACATTTCTGTGTCGACAAACTTCGTGGGTAGGCCGGAATAGTAGCAGCGATAACCGTCTGCTACCCACCAGAACCCATCCACCTGTGTCGATCGGTTACTTTATGACGGACTATTCTACCTACTGTTAGTAGTCATAAGTTCATGACAAAAATTATATCCGGCAACGGTTGGCCAGACTTACGAGGTAGACCCAAAGACTTAAAAAGACTGTCGAAAAGTAACTAGTGAGATTAAACCTACAGTGGATTCTTCCCAACGATCACCGGAGCCACGTGATCGGTTAACAGTGGACCTTGAGAATCAACTAATCTAGACGCAGCGACCGTCACTTCGAGAAGCGACACCCGGGCTGGTAAAGTGGCCCCCAGCACCCTAACGGAACCATTCAATTCCGATTTCGAAAGTTGGCTACTGGGTCGATGGAATCTAATATTCGCAAAGAAGGACCGCTATTTTCAGAAATCGGGGGACGCGAACACATGTTACAACAACAGTTTAATTGTGCTTGATAGGTCATGCATGTATAAAAGCTCAGGTTATCCATATTAGTTAACTCATGTAAGTATTTCTGATGCTGCCTGGGAAGGTTGGCAACTGAAATTTCCGCAAAAGGCAGTGGTTTTATGGATCACTTGTATTATGACGAACCCACGTGATGTGGATTCCATAATTGAGGGGTGAGTGGTCACGAAGAGACTGAACCTCATCGCGGTGTAAGGGCTTGTTCTTCTACATAGGCCGCTGAGCTATACTGGGGGGGTGCATGTGTGACACTCACAGGGCCTCACATACCATATTGGTCAAAAGTTACACGTCTAAACAACGCAGTCCCCCGGTCCTCCAGGTTGGGTGTTGGAAAATGTGCGGCGAACTACCGCTTAAAAATGTGGACTACTGTGTCGACCTAACGCCAAACACCGCTGCATTGAGGTTAGGCTTTTGCGGCAAGAGCATTCGTTGAAAGTCCTAATCGCGCTTCCCCCACTCTCCTCATCCCGTTGTTAGCGTCATCTCCGCAGGTCCATTCTTAAAAACTGACATATTCGTTCGCCGCCCATTACCGTTAGCTAAGATACCTACGATTGATTCGACTAGCACAGTCTTAGAAACTGCGAAATCACTCTTCAAACTTCGACACCTAGTTTCTCTTGCATGCTGAAACAAGCTGAACAGCAGACTGCTCATGCAATTACGGTTGAGTCGCTTTCTATCGATTCGTGCCGCCTATAAGAAAAGAGGATTCAAGACCCCAGTGCGGGTGGTGAACTGGTCTCCCCGACGATTTCCTCTTTCTTCCGGTTGCACATCTATGGTGATTCGAAAACTGTTGTGATAGATATTGATCAAGCCAGCGAGCTGAAGGGTTTTCGCTTGGGTGGCTGAACGCTGATAGTCGCTTCTGAGCGATTCTTTTGACAACGTCTGTGAGAGTATCCCGAAGACGTGCCAGTAATCGCTACTTGTTTATCGTATCTGATTGCGTTCCGACAGAATATAGCTCTGATACACTCAAAGATAATTTTCACGAAGCCTTGAGCGTCTCATCGCGGCCGGAGATATGAATCCGCAAGTAGGCAGAATTAACGCTGCCGAGGTTCAAAAGGATATACATCTTGGACTGGAAACAAAGCCAGCGTATAACGGCGAAAGCCTGCTGCAATTATGCTGCTTACAAGCCGTTTTTATGCAGTACTAAATTTCAAGACAATAGAAAGCTCTGGACCACATGGTGCCCCCAGCATGCGAGCAAACCTCCAACACAGAGACCACGTAACTGTTGGCTACAGGTGTCTTGGGTCAGTTACTGAATGTCATTCACTCTGGAACACCTATGTGACTCTCGGGCTTATTCGTGGCTGCTTCTCGTTGCACCTTTCAGGGACGCGCAAGCTAGGATGCACACATCTTGCTTGGGGGTTGAGAAGCTCTCGGGCCCTGATATAAGGCCAACCTACCAGAACCACCTACTGAAGTCTCCTTAGGACAAGGCACCTTCTGATGTTGACTCTTACTGGAAGATACTGTCTGAAATCCTGCAAGATGCTAGGCACTCCACCTGTGGAATGGCGCAAACCAACTTAATCTAAGCAAGGAATCTCGAGCAATACTAAAACTGCTGGAAACCCAGACACGTACTACCTTTCATCGGGAGTGCAATAAAACTCGATAAATTGGTGAGTAAACTGGATCGAGAAGCTTGTCGTATGCAGAAGCAGAAGAGTCAAAGGCAGTGAGAAACTCGTTATGCGCGCAAATTGTTCGAAGTTACTTAAAGCAGTTTCCGATGAGCAAGACAATCACTGATTCACTGATTAGAACTGCTCGTCTACCTGTAAAAATAAGAGCATTTAAATCGTGGGGCTGAACACTACCGAGGCCAATTCAACCGGCCAACTGTAGAAAGAGACCGTCCCAGTCAGCTGTAGTAAGTCGACGGTGCTGGCCACGTTCTAAACGGGGACACGCAGTGCGTATAATAATCACAGAGGAACTAGCTTGATTTCCGTCATTACCACTCTTTGCGTCGCTTATTCTACACCCTCTTACAAAGGCGGGTGAAAACGGGACCCGGGAAGGGGCTGTGTAGACCACATGCTGACACTCTGTCAAGTGATAGAGCAACGAAATGAGTACAGGGCCCTACAATCCTAATGTTCCGAATTCAAGAGTACGTTCGACTCTCTCGAGCAGTTCGTTCTTTTCAACATCCTTACACAAAAGCGTATGCTTCAGAAATTCGTGATAACCGTCCGCTGTTTGCGCTCACATACAGTTGGCGCATGAGGGCGTATGGGTAGCCCTTCAAAAAACATTCCTACAAACAGTGCTGTTCAACAAGGATGTCCCTGCCTCCATTTTTTGTTTGATTTTGTCATTGGTGAGATAATAAGGCGGACACTGGAAGGTCCCCAAAGACCCAGTGTTCATATCTCTTAAAGCGGGAGCCTTGTCGACCTGGAACATACGAACAACACTGTTATCATTTTGAAGAGAGCAGGAGGTGCAAGCATTACCAAAAAGGCTGGCAAATGATAAAGTGCAAAAGTTAAGATGAGGGACGTATAGATCTTGAAAGCGTCTCTAAGAATTCAGTTGGGGACACTGAACAGTGTAGGGCGCCATATGTATTTTGGAGGTTGCAGTAGCTATGAAAAACAGAGTCAACGCGCGAACCTAAGAAGCCAGAATTACGTCTGCCTATTAATACCACCCGTGGCTCAAAAATGGCATATCACCGGGTCACAAAAGAAGCACGTATCAAACAACATAGCGGTATTATTGTTGTGCGGCTGCAAGACTTGACTGATTCATACGGAGGATTTGAGTTAGCTTCAATTATTTGACCACGGGTGTCCAAAACTATAGTTGAAGTCGGTCGGACTCTGCGGATTGGTAAAGAGGTGGTCAGGAAACGGGTCTTTGACAAGGCAGGAGACAATTCACTCAAAGAACGCACCCGGCACAATAGCTAAGGTGTATTAATCCTATGGTAATCATGCTGAGTTAGTGTCTACGAAGAACAGTATTGTTTTCCATGCCTTACTGCGAAGAGGGAAACTCAGAGGTGGACAGAGGATAAAATGGAAGGAGTAAAGAATGTTGCGAAAAGTTGGCGTACCGTTCGCATTCTAGTGTGGGGTCCGCATGATCCTCCCTGTGCTTGGTTGGAGACAGTGAAAGATATGGCGGCTAACCGAAGTCAGTGGCGTTCATGCCGTCAGTTCCTATCTAACTTGTCCGGTTGAGTGTTGGGGTTGTGGGCACCTCGGATTTTCGTGAGAAGTTAGCCTTAGGTACCACATCCTATCCCACTTTTCTCCTCACTGTGAGGCCTTATTCAAATAAGTTAACATGGTTGTACGGCAGTGAAACACCAGTGTTCTCATCTTGCATTGTTGTCGATAGTGATGATGATGAGGGGCATTTAGGGGGGGGGTGGGTTGATCCCACTTCCGATCAACCGCTTATGACCAGGGGGTTCCTGGACTAGAAAATTCATAGTTCCGTGAGATGCGCATTGTGTATGATAACAATAAGGAAACACGTACACTGTGCTTCTCGCCGTTTAGCGTAGGTTGGCTTTACCCACATTATGATATATCCACTGAGAATACCGCTTAGTCTACAAACATTCTCATTTTCACACAAATTTGTTTAGACAGGAGACTCAACCGAACCCATCTGAAGCGGGGTATCCTAAACGGCACCGTGTATG